AAGAGGAGGGAGGGAGGGAGGGAGGGAGGGAGGGAGAAGGCTTCCACGTCCCCTCCAAGGAGGAGCCCAGCTGGAGGCCTGCAACTGAACCCCAGCAAAAGCTGGAGAATTTCATCGTTCTGTCCTCTCTGAGTCCTCATCTCATCTTTGCTGGTACCTAATGCTGGTACATTGCCTGGTACCCTCTCTGCATCACACAGACATTTAATATTCCCTTCTGTTTAAATGGAAAGAAAATAAGCCTTTTTGCCCCTTATTTTTTGCTGGAAGGAGCTCCAGTTGGTTTGGGAGCTCCACCTTTCATACAGAATCACTTCTTCCCTTGCAGAGAACCAAGTTGCATTTCAGTGATAATTTTGGCACAATACTCTTGAAAGGTCATTAAGAATAATTTAATACATTTTAATTATTTATATTTCATGTAATTTTTAATAGTTGATTCATACCTCCACTTCTTTCTGCATCAGAATGTTCAGCTGTGTATAATATATTCCTGCTTTATATGAGGTCCAGATATTTAGCAGTTCCTGATATTTAGCAGTCCTATAAACTCCCCAAAGGAAGAGATGGGAAGCATCCCTGCTTCCCAGATGCTCTCTTCCATGACAGTTGAAGGGAAAATAACCTCCTGCTCTTTAAAGACTGGTGTTAGAGAAAATGTTGATATATTTTATATATTAGTAAAGGCCTGTCTTCACAAACCAGTCTTTGAAATAAGTCGTGATATTAAAGGCTAAAGTCCTTGAAACCTTCCTGCAGAAGAGAGAGTAAAGCTGAACAATATACAGGAGAAAAAATGTAAACCTACGTGCATTAGCCAATAGTAACTTGCTTGGCCCGTGGACCCTGTAAAACCCTATATAAGTGTGCTAAAGATAGAAATAAACGGCGTTCACGTTTACTTCTGTGAAGAGTGGTGAATAAGCTGGCAGTCTCTCAATAAGAGAAGACTTGGGCAACACTGGGTTACTGCATTGCCATTAGCAGCCATGAGAGCATTTAAGAGACATGTGGCTGTCAAGCCAGTTTCCTGTACTGTGTTGTCTCCAAAGCAAAGAGCAACCTCTCACAGCCAAAACATCCCACAGATCTACCAGCTGAAGGGTAAGATTCAAAGACTTTCTCAGTGTTCCAGCTGAAGCAAATGTTAAGCAGTGGAGGAAAATATCCTTGCAGGTCATTGCCCTGGAGTGTCAGAGATGCAACTTTCGGGTCTGATCCCATTTAGAAGTGATGTAGCTGCTGTGATCATCTGGCTAATGTAAGAGGAGAAGCAGGTAGGCAGAACATCTGAATTTTATACAGCAAAAATGGCAAGCATTGCAACATGGCCTAAAAAAGCAAAAGAGCAATAAAAACTGTAAAACAGGAGACGTTTTCCTTACTGAAGAGGTCTCAAAGAGGCAAAGCCTAGCTTCACCAGCTTTTCTGACAGAAAGACACAAAAACCTCAGTCTGTGAGAGTAAGAGCACATGCCAAGCAGCCTCTCACCAGCCTCCTGACTGCAAAGACCTCACTAAACTTCAGTTCTGACTCTACCTGCACCAGAGAACCTGGTCCAGCCAAAGAGCACAGGACCCAGACCCCTCCACAGTGTGCTTAGGGCAGATGCCAGTCCTGTGCCTCTCAAACATCACGGTCCTCAAAGCAAACACTTAATTACATTATGCATGACAAGTCAAACATCTTTTTTTATAATGCTCTTGTTTATGATATTGTAATTATGTCTGCAAACCAGGATGTTGTGAATGAATCAGCAATAATTATCCCTGTATTTTCTTGTCCAGTGAGAGGGACTGACACACACAGTCCAGGTTTGCAGTGCTGGGCACTGTTTCAAAAGGATGGGAGTTAAGGATTGTGAAAAACAAGGTTCACATAATTTTTATAGAATTTAAAAGTTTAATAAAAAAGACAACTAGGAGAAAAAAATAAAGTATACAGATATGGCCAGGTGTCTCTGCATTCAGCCAGGAGAGCACACCTTACTGACAAAGGATTGTCCCTTAAAAACAGAATCCTACTACATATCCATAAATTCTCATACACATTCATACATTCTTCTTAGGATCTTTGGTGTTCTTCTGTTTAGTTTTCTCTTGTCCCCTTCCCAATAGATCAATCTTCTTGGCGCCATCAAGATTTACATTCCCTGATACCAGAAATGCAATAAATTCCTCTCCCCAGAGTTCTGGTCACTGCTGTCTTCATCTGGATAAGATAGTTTACAAATGCAGGAGTTCTCTAGCTATTTTTTTTTTCCTCAGTCTTTGGGTTATACAAACAAAAGCAGTTTTTATTTTAATACTATGCCATAGCTTAACATATATGTATTATACTACTATTTCTAAGTTTCATCAGTAACAGAAATAAAGAAAACTATATTAATACAACAAAGTTTCCCATTCTTATACACATAGCATTCATTTTAATATTTGTGAAAAGCCAACAATATAATATGTATCTGTAACAAGGATGTAGCAATTTCCTGGTCAGTGGAGGTTAGGGTGATTTTGTGCTCAGTGTAGATGGCATTGTCTGGCAGAGACAATTAGCAAACGAAGTGCTGCCTCACCAGAGGCTTTGCAGCCTCTGAGTCTCTTCTTCCAGGCTGACAACAAACAGAAATTTGAGATGGTATCTCAGGTTTCCAAAACAGGAAGCTGCTAAATCCAGCAAGAGAACAATTAATTTCCTACTTATAATGATGCTGCTTAAAAATCTCCTTTGATACTAAAGTGTTTTCCAAAGGGTAGCAAGGCAGGTATTTCATCCCCATTTTTCACCAGATGAAAGACCAACTCTGCCAGGAGTGGAGCTGAGAGAGGGATGTTTTTCTGTGCAGAACTGGTGCTTCACTGTGACTCAGGCTCTGTTCCTTTCTGCAGTCTGCCTCCCACCCCTGACTACCATACCCGAGTCACAGCATGGCACAGCCCTCCTTCAAACCCCTTTTTCTTTCAATGTCTCTTCTGTAGAGGAGAAGTTAATGGAAGTTTCCACTCACTTATTATATTCATACACTATGAATGTCTTCTATAAATCATCAGAGTGGCCCACATCAGGCACAGGTTGGTGCAATTACAAGGTAAAGAAATGTAGCTTAGACACCAGGTTCCTCTGAACAAGTGGACTGGCCTTGGAGTAGTACTGTGCCAAGGGGATGAGTTATCACAGCCAAGGCTTTTATCTTTTTTTTTCTTAATTTCTCTGTTCTCCCACCATCCCCTCTTGGGTACTTTTTTCTTTCTGTTCAGCTGGCTAACAGAGAAATAATAAGCTGAAAAAAAATGAAAATTATTTCAAGCTACATTCCAAAGAAAAACCTCAGAGATTTTCAACTAAATAAAGAGCTTTAAAAAGCTTCCAATTAAACAAAATATTGTCCTGACAGGACTCTTCAAGCAGTATCTTCAGTAATTCAGATTTATATGACCAGAAGTTTTGAGAGAATTGCCAGAAGGGAGAGCATTTTGAAAAGAACTTCAAGATGTTTAATCCCGAAACAATCAACACAGAATATTTAAGTTTTTCTTTTTGTCTTCCAGCCAAGAACTATTCATCAAAGTTATCTCAAGTTTTAAAATGTGGTTTCAGTTTTCTGGAACTTTACTTTTCAGCAAATGCCATGCTTGCAAGAGTTCAGAAATTTTTTCCAGTTCCACTTTTGTTCTCCTATGTGTTTAATGTTGAAATTCCTTGTATGAAAGTGTTCTCAAGTGCTTCTGCACAACATTACCAAACACTGCATCCAAAGTCCAGCAAGCACAGGTGGTTTCCTGGAGAATAGTACCAACTGTTGATTAAATACCAGCGTGTGCTGCTCTGCATACCTGTGCACACAAGCTGGGATTGGCCCCACTGAAATAAATGGTGACCAGTCCCAAGCAGTTTTGGAAATCACACCTCTCCAATGCCAGTGATGGTGACTAAAATCTGCAGTTGTTTTTTTTTTTTTCTGGGTAGACATTGGGTCTTAAGTGGTCTGAGTCCTGCTACCAAAACAAGTGCACTTTTACATGTAGCAAAGCACAGCCAAATTCCCTGGGTGCAGCAGTGGCAGCTCCCCTGTGCTGCAGCAGTTGGAGTGAGGCTGAGCACCTCGCACAGGCTGAGCACAAACTGCAGTTGAAATTTCATATAGACATTTCTGTGCACACCTGCTTCCATCTCACCTCTCTCTTGGTCACTACCCACTGCTCAGCAGCAGCCTACTATAGAATATTTCAGTTTTGTGTGATCCCCAGGAATTTTCCATGGTTTGTCTACATCTGTAAGATTCAC